ACCACTGAGCCTTGTCTCCAGCCCCCATGAGCCATGTCTCCAGTCTGCAAAATACTTTTGCTAACTATAAACTTGCCATTTTCAACCTCTTCAGGCAGTACTCTCCCCAAGTTACTATCATTTTAAAGGCACATTTTAAAGTTAGTAGCTCACATTTTTCTATAGTTGCTTAAATAGTTGCAAGGATTGTACTTTGCAGTTTATTGTAAATTCATACACTTACAAATAAAATGTTTACATTGTTCTTTTACAAGTATCCCGTTGAATCAAATGCCCCAACAGTTGGCTATTTTCAACAGTCCATCTAAAAAGAAAAACAGAAAAGATCAGGGGCCTGAGAGATGATTCAGTGGTTAACGGCACTGGCTGATGTTGCAGAAGACCCAGGTTTGGTTCGCAGGATCCATATGATGATTCACAGCCATCTGTAACTCTACTTCCAGTTTCAGGGGATCTGATGTCTTTTTCTGCTTCCTCCGTCACCAGGCACACATGTGGTGTAGGCAAAACACTTGCACACACAATATAAAAATGAATGAACCTTTAAGAAAATACACGAACAGTTTACATTACTGGCATCTCTACTCACACTTGCATTTACACTCCACACTCTGCCACAGAATTTGCTCACATTCTATTTTTTAGATACGAGACTTACTGATAACGTTTCTGTATGTTTATGCGGGTGGGCTCAACAAGTATATGAATGTTCACCACGTGAGAACGAGAATGCCATCTCCCCGGCTCCTCTATTTGCTTCAATATCTAGACCAGCTGGTCTCAGATTTGCTGTCCTTCTGTCTCTGCAGCCTTGGCTCTTCTTGGGCTCACTCTACAGACCAGGCTGGCCTCGAACTCACAGAGGCACACCTGCCTCAGCCTTCCGAAGCTGGGATTAAAGGCCTGAGCCACCATTGCCCAGCCCATATTACGTATTTTAAAAAGTCTTGTAATAATTAAGCAGCTTTCTTTTTCTTTCCTTCCTTTCTTTTTTTTTTAACTTTATTTTTCAAGACAGGATTTCTCTGTGCAATAGTCCTGGCTATCTTAGAACTCACTCTATAAACAGGCTGGCTTCGAACTCACAGAGATCCACCTGCCTCTGACTCGCTGGGATTAAAGGCGTGCACCACCACTGCCCAGTTTTTTTTTTTTTTTTTTTCTTTGTTTTGTTTTCCACACAGGATTTCTCTGTGTAGCACTGGCTGTCCTGTATAGACCAGGCTGGCCTTGAACTCACCTGCCTTAGCTTCCGTAGAGCTGGGATTAAAGGTCTGTGCCACCAGCAGCATACATGCCCATATTCTAAAGAATACCACCCCCATTTTTACATTTTAATTCGTGGAAAAGAGAGCATAAATTATGTGAACTTACACAGGTGATGGGGGATTGTGTCCTGACACCAGTTGAAGCGTGAGGTTTAAAGTGTGCACTTTGACACATGGAGTCAAGAGCTGAGGCTGCAGTGGCAGAACACTTGCCCAGTGTGCATGAAGTCCTGAAGTCCTGGGTTCGATCCCTACTACAGCAGAATCAATCTAAAATAAATAACTACACAGTCCTAAAACCAGTCCGAACAAGTCTGATCAGTACTTATTAAGCAGAAAAGGTGAAATTTTGTTGGGAATGTCTTGCTGCAGAGTGGGGCATTTCCTTTCTTCTTGATAATTTTAAGCTTGGATGAATATTGCTCACACTAGGGTAGAACAGATTTTAGCTACAACTCTACCCCTAGTTTTCATTTTGATGTTTTCCAGATGTCAGCATCAGGAAATGCTTCAGAAGAATCTAATCTGAGGCACTCTGTGAGCTACTTGTTAAACCTAACTATTACTATAAGTTACATACACACACACACACACACACACACACACACACACACACACACACACACAGAAAGGCTGGCAGTACATCTCAGTGGTAGGGTACTTGCTTAACTTATGTGCCCCTTTGGGTCAGTCACCAGTACGACATAAACTGTTACGGTTCTGGATCCTCAGAGATTCACCAGTCTGACCACGAATACATTTTAACGAAGTGGAGGCTTTTATTCAAATTAATGGAGCCAGTTCTACGGGCTGGACTGGCAATTCCCAAGCTTATCTCCTAGCCACATTAGTTAGGGGTTTATAAAGACAAAGAACATAGTTACATTGTTTTTTATTTTTATTTTAGTGCTTTTGTTTGTTTTTGAGACAGGGTCTCTCTGTGTAGCTCTGGCTGTCCTGGTCTCCAACACGCAGAGATCCACCTGCCTCTGCCTCCCCAGCACTGCCTAGAACAGGGTGTGCCACCACCTCCTGCTATTTTGTTTTGTTTTTAAACATTCACCTTGCAGGTGTCTGATTATCTCCAGCAAAAACAAGATGTTTACAGAAGCAGGAACACAGTTAACCTTGTGGCCTATTACCTTGTATAAACAGCAAGTTTTGTTAAAGCTACACAAGACCAGGCAATTGCAAAAACAACCCTTAAAATCCCTTGACATTTGAAGGTCCAATTTTGTTTTGTAATTCTAAGCACAGCAGTTTTTAAACTTTGAAACATAAAGTTAGCCATCAGCACAACCACCATCATAAAATAGACAAACCAGAAGGAAATCGCTCAAAGCTTATCACTTCTGAATTTTTTCATTATACATTTATTATTAATTTATGTTCTTAAGATTCTTTACAGCAGCCAGATGTGACCTAGGCCTGTGATCCCAGCGATCTGGGAAGGGTACATAGGAGTGTCACAAGTTTAAAGCCAGTTTGGGCCAATTTAGCTAGATCCTGTCTTGAAGTGAAAATAATAAATTTTGAAATGTTAATACCAATTGTGTTATATAAGCACTGCAGACCACTTCCCAATTCCATGTTCAGTGAGGTTTCATTGGTGGGTTGAAATCAACCACAGTGAAAGTATTTACACCACAGAAACTGACAGAAGGCACAAATTAGCCTATCCCCCTCTTCTACTGCTGGGTGAGCTGGGAGTGGTGAGAAGTCCCTCTCTGAGTTTTGTTCCCCAATGACAGGTGACAGAGAGCAGCAGCACAGGCTGAGCTGTCACCAGAAATGACTTCTAGTGAGTTACCTCCTGACAGCTAGGTTAGGCCTCCTTCAATCCCATGGAAGACAAAGATTGTAAACCATTTGAATTGCAAAACTGATCCTTTCTTCCTCTCCCTCCCTCCCTCCCTCCCTTCTTCCTTGAGAAAGAAAGGTTCTGATGGTGTGTGAATCTCTGGTCAGCCTGAAATGTAGACCAAATCATTCTAGTTCTCTGTCTGTCTGTTTCTCTGGAAACAGGGTCTCTCTACATAGCCCTGGATGTCTTAGAACTCACTGTGTAGACAAGGCTGGTCTTGAACTCAGAGATTTACTTGCTTCTGCCTCTTGAGTACTAGTGTTAAAACATGCACCATCACACCCAGCTAGGGTGATTAATTTCTTTTCAGAGTGCCCATTTTAAGGGAAATATATTAAAATAGTTGAAAACAGTTGCTCATTATTAAGTCTGTGGGGGGGGGGAACCCTACGATCAGTATTTGAAAATTGTTTTTTTCTGTCAAGCCTCTGCCACAAGAGGCTTTCATTCTTGGAAAATAATTAAGGAATAGAATAAAGGAAGTCAAGGAATAGGACGCAGTATGCCTTGCCTGCAACCCCATCTTGTATGTGTGTGTGGTGGGGTGGGGTGTGAATTGGGACATTGTGAGTTAGGGGCTGGCTTAGACAATTCAAAGAGGGGAAGGGGCAGGGGTCATTTCCACCTGGAAAAGTATGTGAATTCAGCCAGGTGGTGGTAGCATAAGCCTTTCATTCCAGCACTGAGGAGGCAGAAGCAGGGGGAATCTCTAAGTTCAAGGCTAGCCTGGTCTACATAGTGAGTTCCAAGACAGTATGGGCTACACAGGGAAACCTTGTGTGTGTGTGGGTGGGGGGGGGAACAAAAAACACATACACAAGAAGAATGTGAATTCTTAATATGTCAAAACAGGCCAACATACCCTAGTCCCAAAGCCACATCACACCCTTAGCAAATACATCTGTATGTTAAAGATTGACTCTTTGATTGATGGTTCTAGTATGCCCCCTCCCTTTTTAAGGGCCTCATACTTAACAGCTGGAACATCTTAAACTCCGACTGTCCCCTTGCCTCCGTGCTGGGATGACAGACTTCCTCATCACGTGGGTGGAGATGGCCTTCAATCAACTATTAATTCCAACAGTCTAAGAAATCTTACCAAACCCCTACTCCGTCAGAAGCGATTTCCTTGGATCCATCCAACGTGGAAGCCTACTTGAGAGAAACTTTGCAAACCAGTTGAGAGATGAAAAATCTCTCAAAACAGAGACCAGTCTGCCTGTTTTTGTTTTGCTCATTGCTAAGGGGGGTGGTGGTGGTGGATGAGGGTGGCAAGTCAAAAGAATAACTATTTTGTGACATGTGGGGATTACACAAAACCCACCTTTCAGTTCATAAATTTTATTGGTTAATGTAAAGGCAGGCTCACTGCTTTGTCTGTCCAGCTGCCTTTGGGCTAGTGCCCTGGGCTTGGAATAGTTTCGACAGCAGGCCGGGAAAAGCCTAACCCTTTTCATCCACCCCTTTCAGAGCAGCTAATCAAAACTATCCATAATCAAGCCCCACTTGGGAAATCTTCCCCGACTTCAGACGGGACCGTCCCGGGTTGAAGACTGGTATAAACAGAAGACGCTGAGTCAATCCTTCCCATTTCGGGGCCTCAGTTTCCCCAGCTATAAAGTGGCGTGGGCGGTGATCCTCGTGGTGGGGGTGGGGGGGGTTGAGGGAGCTGCTTCGCCGTGGATCTGCTAACCATCACAAGCTGCCCGCTCTGGGAGACGCAAGTTAGGGTCATCCCGGAGCCTGCGGGCTCGCAGTGGGCGGGTCCCCCTTGGGGTTTCCAGCTCGCCCAGGCGCAGCGCCCTGCAGGCCCAAGCTTTCCCGGGGGAATTCCGGGAGGTGCGAGCGGGCACTGGGGGCGGGGCAGGGCGGGGCGGGGCTGCCGCTTATAAGAAGGGCTGTGCGCCCGCTCCGGGCCACTGGTCTGCGCCCTTGGGACCATGGCGCCTCGTTGCATGCTCGCTCTGCTGCTGCTGCTCTTCGGAGGGTTCCCTGGCGCCCCCGCCGAGTCGGTAGGTGTTTGAGGGATGTCTTAGGGCGCGCGGGGGGGGGGTGCCTCCTTTGTTTCCTGAGATCCCGGGTTCCGGATGGAGTGGGTTACACCAGGAGCTGCGCCACCCCCGTCTGGGTGCCGAGGCGGAGGAAACTTTGTGGAGACTTCGGGGGTCGCGGGAAGGCTGGCGGGAACTACTCCACGAGCGTGAGCACTTACATTATTGCTCTGCGCCTCTGTCCCGGCCTCTGCTTTGCCGCGAGGCACTGGGATGGGACGTGACTAAGTTGGTGTCAACTCTTCTCCGCCCATATCCTTAGACCTTCGCCGTGATCTTGGGGCAGGCTCTGAGCCCGGAGCGCCCCTCCTCTCTTTGGGTGTCCAGAGCAGGCAGGCGGCTTGAGCCTTAGATGTCCTGGGGACGAGGTGGGCAGCGTGCATTCGGGAGTAGGAGAACTTGGGGTTACGCGGGGATTCTGGAGTGGAGAGAACTTACCCCTGCTCACAGTCTTGCCACTGACCAGAGAAAGGGCAAGGACTCCTTCAGTGTCACCTTCCCCATCTGCAGAACGGGTTTGCTGCAGTAGGATCAAAAGATGACCCTTCTTGCTTTAAGTTGCCTAGAAAGTTGGGTCCCTTATCTTTACAGAGCGGACTGACTCAACAGCTCCTGGCTAGAAGTTGAGTTATAGCTGTTTTGCGAGTTTTTGTGTTGAATAACATAGGGGGAAGTTGAGGCACTCACCTGAGTGAGGTGAAGAAGTTGAAGGAGAAGGGGTCCTGAAGAGCCTAAAGAAACTTTCCAGGGTCCCTACCGGTGTCCACAGGGCCCTGGGCCATGTACAACTAGTTCGTCGTAGTGGTGGGTTCCGAGGAAGTTGCGGGGCATGGCAGTTTCTGGGAGAGGGGATTTATCACCTTCAGTCCAAGGTTAGAGGGGGGAAAGAGAGACCCAGAAGTTTAATTATTAATATTCTTCTGGAAAATTCCTTTTCTCTGGGCTGACTTAGGGCACAGTTGATTCTGTCCGGGGAGACCCGGTGAGGGCCTATGCAACATGCTGCGTTAATTCCAGTGAAATGCGGAACCTGTTGTGTGCAGGTTTCTGTTCTAACAGCTTTCTGATAGCTTTGGAATTAAATGTTTTTGGTTCCAGAAAACCTCACTGCTTACTGTTCTTAAACTAGTCCTGAGGCAGGAGAGGTTAAGTAATTTGCTGAAGGTCACACAGCTAATAACTGGCTGAGTCAGACTGAAGTTAGGCAGCCGGGCTTGGAAGTGCCTGTTTTTATCTTCTGCTTCTAGTGGCTGCCCTTGGGTCCCTTTCTCCTGTAACTCAAGACTGGTCTTACATCTGTCGATATCTGGGGTTAGAAAGCCTCAAGGAATAGTGGGGGGCGGGGAGGGGGGAACGGACCAGAATGTGGGCTGTGACTTTCCTCTAAAGCAACATCTTGGCAGAAAGATTTGCGATTGAGGCTGGAGCCCATACCACATGCTTCCCTGGTGTAATAATTCCGAATGAGATGTTGAAGGGTGTTGTGAAGTTGATTCTTTACTTGGGGAGGTATCTGAAGGAATTCTGACAGGGCAGTGTGAGGAGAAAGGGTCTAAGAGGTGACTGAGGTCAACCCGTGGTCAGTCACATGCCATGGATCTCAGCTCAGCCAGCAGGTGCTTTGCTTAAGGGGGAGGAGTAGGCGGCTGTGTCCCCCAGATCAGTAGGAGGATGTGGGTTTGGGGGTGGTAGGTCATGCCAGGCCTGTGGGTGACCTGATATAGCTAAGGGGAGAAGCCAGCCTTAAGTAGCTGCTTCCTTCCGGAGGCCTCTGTCTCAATATCTTAGCCCGATCTCTGCACTCTCTCCTTCCTGGCTAATGTGGGAATCTTAATTGGGGCACCAGGGATTCCCCTTAAATTGTGGACGGAAAAATCAGATCAAATCATGCTCTCTTAGACTGGAGAAATGATACTATCTGCCCTTCTCCCTTTTTTCTTGGAATTAGAGGGGGGAAAAAAAAAAGCCTGGGAGCAGAGTTTGGCTAATAGCTGTTATGATTTATTGAGTACTTTCTGATAACATAATTTAGGCCCTCACCGTGCACACACATACACACAAAACTAACACGTGATTATGTTATTGTGTCTTTTCCAGATAAAGTATATTGATGGCAAGCAGGCCATCAGTTGTCTGATAAAGTAGTCTTCCTCATGTTATAAGGCCTTTCTCCAAATTCTGGATTTAGTCCAAACACAGATTTGGGGAAGGGAGCCCAAGCTAAACACCTAGCTGCCCTCTCCTCTGTTTGGCGGGTTTGTCATCTTAAACCTGTTCTTCCTGTCCAGCTGGGAGCATTCCCTGCTCTGCCTTCCTGCCTGCCACTCCCACCCTGGCCAATTAAAGGCAGCCTTGTTTTGGGTTGGGAAGGTGGGGCAAGGTGTTGCTGCCCAGGGGCGCAGCCCACTGACTTGGCACTACTCCCAGGCAGTTCTGAGAAAGCATCTCCCACCCACCACACCAGGTGTACTTCAACTTAAAGACATCTGGTCTACCTGAGAATTCTCTACTTGATAGCACTGAAGGGGGTTGGGGGATGCATGGGGTGGGGGCTGGAGGGGCGGAAGTCTAGGGGGGCTGTTCTAGGACCTATGAGTGGCTGTTGAGAACTCTTGGGGCTTCTTGGGAACCCATAGAATTACCACACAGCCAGGAAACTATTTGGGCCATGATCTCAAGAGCTATGTGGTTGGGAAGGCTTCCCTTTATCCTCTCTGGGTGTAGAGATCTTTGCAGAATCTGATGGAGGAGCTAGAAAGCTTTAAGACCACCTTTCCAGATCTCATATTTGGTTTTTGGTTTAGTACCTATGTGGATGGGCATTCTGCCTGAATGTATATAGCATGTTTGTGTCTAGTGCCCAAGGAGGCCAGGAGAAGAGTCAGTTCAACTGGAGCTACTGGAGCTACAGTTGAGAGCTGCTAAGTGGGTGCTGGGAATTGAACCAGGGTCCTGAGCTATCTCTCCAGCCCTCCTATACTTGATAATTGAGTGCTAACTATTCAGAAGCAGCTATTGGAGACATCCAAGGCATTCCCTTCGGGAAATGAAAGCACCACCAAATTCTGCAAAGGGAGAGAACCCCACCCATTTACACCTACTGAAACACCTACTTTTCTTACAGGCAGTGATTTGTGTGAGCGAATAAACTCATGTATGGAACTTCATTCTAGAAGTGCTCCAAAGTCATTTATTGCTAGTGTGGCTACAGTTTGGTACTTACTACAGATTAGGAATTTTTATTTCCCTTTTCACAGAAAATTGATGCTGAAAGGAATGCGGTGTTCTGCCAAGATCAGGAACCAGGTCTGATTGAGAAGGTCTGATTGAGAATGCTAGGTGTCTGGTTAGTTTGTCCCTCAGAGAACATTTTAGATGATGGTGACATTAGATAACCTTGGGACCTACTTCTGGTTTGCTACCTTGTGTCTAGGGCCCAGTGTCCCTATATCCAAAATGAGAAGGCCGGACCATTGCCTCTCCTGAGCCGCAGCCCAGTGTGGGGGAGAGGAAAGGAGAGTTCTCTTGGCTGCTTTGGTAGAGTCTAAACAAGTCCCTGTCTCAGAAGAGAAGAGAAGTAGGGTGGACATTCAGCTCCTGCCATCCCAAGTGCCTAGAAACAGGACGCTTTTCCAAGGACTTGGAGTGCTGAGCTTGCCTGAATGGGGAGCTGGACAGCTGGGCTTGATGTTGGAAGGGATTGGCCACTAGCTGTAATCTCAGCCTCCTGGACTGGATGAGTTGGTGCAATTTACAAATAATGCTTAAGAGTAGGGGAATGGGATGGACTGGGCTTTGTAATCACTGTGTTACTACAGCTTGTCTGAATCACCCATTTCCTATCAGTCTCTTGGTTAATAAGATGGATAGCTCTGTGGTAAGAATGTTGGAATGGGCCTGAAGGATTGAAGGTTTTTGTTTGTTTTGTTTTTTATCTTGACCTCTGATAGTCAATATCAATGTCTAGAGCCTTTGAACACTCACAGTGCCTGTGTGTGCACTTTGACCCTGGGCAGTGTTACAGAGCAGGTACAGCATTGGGACACCCCTCCACATATACACACCCTTAAGCAACACTGAGGCTTGAACTGGTCTGAATTCATAGAGCCAAGCTAGTATCATTCGGGTTGGCTTGTTCTAGGATGCCGTGTACATTTCTGAGGCTGGTATGAGGGTTAAAACTTTAGTTAATGGTCTGTTGAGGCTCTGAGTTCAATTCCTTAGCACCAGTAAATAAATAAGATTATGGAGAGACTTAGATGATGAGCTTGCAGATGAGACTCTGAACATAGCTCCAAGTAGTGGACCAGAAGAGAAGACCGTTCCCTGACTTGCCTAGGACCTCCCTCTTCCCCCACATCCAGTCCTGCAGCTGCTAGGTGGGAAGGGACGAGCCTAGGGGTGGGGCTGATAGAGCCCAAATCTTATATTTGTTTATCTTAGAATTGGGCTGTTTGCAGGTTATCAGATGGGTTTATATTTAAACAAGAACCAGTTCCTGGCAGCCCCACCTCTCCTGCCAGGATCTGCAGGTGTCCTGGGCAGCTTGCAGGGAAAGGGGGGCAGGGAATTTACTAGGGTACCAGATCTCTCAGGACACTGCTCAAGCTAAGTTGTACCACTTTCCCGTTAGGTGGGCAGACTCAAGGCAGCTGAACGACTACAAGTGGGTTTGGTGGATAAGCAAAGGCAGTGCATTTCCCCCTGTATCATGCACTAGAGACTGGGAGAACATGTGTGTGGACCATTGGGGTCCCATTGAACTTGAAAGAGAAACTTGACTTGAGCTGGTTTGTAATTAACCCGTTGGTGACCTTTGGGCACAAGCCTGCCCCTTGCAGGCCTCTCTGGTGGTGTCTGTTAGAGGCTGGGAAACTGGAAATGAAGACGTATCTGAGAGCCAGAAAGTCTCACAAGTCTCTGCCCCAGCTCTGCCACTCATCAAGGTGCACACAGCGAGT